TCTCTCTCTCTCTCTCTCTCTCTCTCTCTCTCTCTCTCTCTCTCTCTCACTCTCTCAAAAATAAATATTAAAAAAAAAACTTAAAAAAATAAAATAAAAATGAATTTGCGATGGTAAGGTTGCACCACTGTACCTTGTAACTTAGCTCTCCGGACCTTCCCGTCTCATCGAGCGCACAAGTCAGGGCTGACACACTGTGAGCTGCCCCAAGAAGAATTCCCACCGAGTTCCAAATCCCAGCCTGCTATTACAGCTGAAGGCGCTGCAGTATTCAGCATGACTTTGTCATCTTGGCCCCAGTTGCGGAGCCAAGAGACTCCAGAGACTGGAGGGCTCCAGAGACTGCCAAGTGCTATCACCGAGAAAAACGAGCCACTGGCACTTGACGTTCTGCTTTGGTAAGCCTTGGAGGAAGGAGAGGGTGTTATCAGCAGGAGTCATGAGAGTTTAATGCTGTGGAAACAGAAAATAAAAAGCAAGTGGAACCAAAGTTGATAATAAGAGGCAAAACACAAAACAAAACAAAACCCTTCAGGGGCCTGGCTTTCAGAATTTGTGAATCATTCTGGCCAAAAACAGGGTTTCCGTACCCATGACCTCTGACAGCTTTCCAAACTCAGGTGGCATTTGCTGCCACCCAGGAGAGAGGAGTCTGGTTGGTCAGATTGCTCAGATATTTGTAGACTAGAGGATATGAAATACACCGTGACCCCCCTCACTCAGCCCCCACCATTCTGCAGCTTGATTAATTCCCACAGCAACACGGTGCCTCCGCTCTGCCTGTGTTAGAAACAGAGTAACTAAAACACTGATTCATGAAAATAGATTTCCGGGACTGGTTTTCATACAGTTGCAAGAACAAATTTTATTCAAGTGCTTTTGAAATGTTAGAGGTACAGCTACTAAAACGGTGATTTTAAACCTCTTTAATCCTTGAAGCCCTTTGATTAATATTTTATGTGGTGTCAGTATCGTGATTACATATATTTGAAAGCCATAAACTGTACTTTTAAAACAAAATGTCAATATTCAGGGCACCGCTTACGAACTGATTGGCTTTGGGCAGGTCTCTTAAACTTTTGGCCACGTCAGCTTTCTCACCTATAAAACGGGAAGAATAATCATTTCTGCCGCATTGGGTTCGCCAGCGTGTTCCTAGAGCATCCGATACATAGGAGGTGCTTAGCAAATGTATGTCTTTGCTCTCCCAAAGAGCATTTCTCTTGTTGTTCTACTTGGTCAAGACAAGCTTTGATCCAGTTATTTCCTGTCTTGGAACCAGAATGACAGGCGTCAATGTCCGTCATCAGGTAACGCGTGGCAGCTCATTTCAGTAGGGCTTTTTATACCCTGTATGCGTGCAATTTCCAAGTTTTCAAAAAAGAACAAATGGAGTTTAAAAAAGAAAAGAAGGCCCCCTCATAGGTTCCTCTGGTTATCATTTTCTTGTCAAGGAAATGAGCTCTAAAGCTGCCAGATCCAAGCGTGTATCCCGCGGTTGCCGCCCACACTGAGGCAAGCCACAAGAGCTTGTATTTCTCATTCTACAGGGAGAAATATTGGTAATACATTAAAGACATGGAGAGGAAGAAACACGCAGAAGGTTTGTTTATGTCCCAGGACATTTCATTAGGCATCATGGGCCATTAAAAAAAATATCCTGGAACGTTTCAAAGTCAAATGCGTATGCAAAATGGCAGAATGGTCTTGCTGAGTACCTGTTGGGACGTCTTCACCTGGAATCCTGGGGCGTGATCCATGGTGGAGGGAGGGGGCAGGGATTGTGTGCCTTAGGCAACTATACCAGTGTTTTAATAGCCTGTGAACTAGAAATTCAAATCAGTGTTACCCTCTTCCATGAGGGCAGGTCGTGGGATTATTCTCGTACTTCTGAGAGCCACAAAGATGGAGGGAGCAGTCGGGGGACAGGTCTCTGCGAGCTATCACCCCACTCCTCACCAGCTGCCTGCATTTTGGGCATCTCATTTATCTACTCTGATCCTTTTCCACTTATCTTGCTTAAGTATTTAAAACAAGTCTGGGGCGCCTGGGTGGCTCAGTGGGTTGAGTGTCCGACTTCGGCTCAGGTCATGATCTCACACACTGTGAGTTCGAGCCCCCCTTCGGGCTCTGTGCTGACAGCTCAGAGCCTGGAACCTGCTTCGGATTCTGTGTCTCCCTCTCTCTGCCCCTGCCCCGCTCGCGCTCTGTCTCTCTCTCTCTCTCTCTCTCTCTCTCTCTCTCTCTCTGTCTCTCTCTCTCTCTCTCTCTCTGTCTCTCTCTCTCTGTCAAAAATAAATAAACATTAAAAAATAAAAAAGTAAAACAAATCTAAGATATCATGTCATTTCACCCATAAATACTTCATCTCTCGTGCATTTCACTCATAAATACACACATTTCTAACCAAAAAGGACACTTCTTTTGAGTTAATCTTTTTAAAAATTTTTTTATTTAAATCCAAGTTAGTTCACGTAGAGCGTAATAATGGTTTCAGGAGTAAAATTTAGTAATTCATCACTTACATGCAACACCCTGTCATCCCAACAAGTGCCCTTATTAATGCCCGCGACCCTACCCACCTCCCCTCCTGCAACCCTCAGGGGTTTTTTTCTCCATATTTAAGAATCTCTTATAATTTGGCTCCCTCTCTTGTTTTATTTTTATTTATCTTATTTTTATCTTTTATTTTCCTTGTTTTTATCTTATTTTTCCTTCCCTCCCCCTATGTTCATCTGTTTCTTTTTTTTTTTTTTTTAACGGTTATTCATTTTTGAGAGAGAAACAGAGCATGGGTGGGGGAGGGGCAGAGAGAGAGGGAGACACAGAATCCGAAGCAGGCTCCAGGCTCCAGGCTCCGAGCTGTCAGCACAGAGCCCGATGTGAGGTTTGAACCCAGGAACCATGAGATGATGACCTGAGCCGAAGTCAGGTGCATAACCGACTGAGCCCCCCAGGCGCCCCCTGTTTTGTTTCTTAAATTCCACATATGAGTGAAATCATATATTTATCTCTGACTTATTCCGCTTAGCATAATACACTCTAGTTCCATCCACGTTGTTGTAAATGGCGAGATTTCATTCTTTGTGATCACCAAGTAATATTCCATTGTATACTATCAACAATAGCCAAACTATGGAAAGAGCCCAAATGTCCATCAGCTGATGAATGTATAAAGAAGATGTGGTTTATATTAGTGATAATTTCTTAATATCATCAAGACCATGTTTCAGTGTTCCAGATTTTTTCTTACAGTTGGTTTGGTTTGAATCAAGATTCAGACAAGGTTCAAATATTACATTTGATCATTTTGTATCGCTTTAAAAATGTTGTGAAAAACTTCAGATACGTTATCACCGCCATCATCTTTGTGACTTTTAGCAAAATTCTGTTACATAGCTTGATTATCTTATTTACCAGACCCTGGGTCTGAATGGCCTCTGGCTTTTTCCCAAAAGTAAATCCACCTCACTGTCCAAATATTTTTCACCAGTGAGGATAATTAAACCTTCAGACGTCACTGTGTAGTTTCTCCGGGTGGATTCAGAGGAGCTGTTCCCGAACAGGTTTTGGGCAGTGAATTCCTGGGTGGTGGTTCCCAGTGTGTCTGATTTGCAGGGCCCTCCCCGCTTAGTGCAGAAAGCTCTACGTGCTTGACGTATCTGTTCTAACACAGGCTTTTTGATCGCCAATAATTGTAATCGATGTTTGTGTTTTCCCACAGATAATCGCTTATCAGCCGTATGGGAAATCCGTGGACTGGTGGGCCTATGGCGTCCTATTATATGAAATGCTAGCTGGGCAGGTAACGGGTTGCTACGTTTTCATGCTTGTTTATTGCCGGATAACGGGAGTCTTTCAGCTCGGTTCGGACCACGGTAGCAGGACCTGGCTCCTGCTGGTCTGACTTCCCCAACCCAGGTGAAAGAGGGAGAAATCCACCCCCACCCCACCCCCCCCTTGAAAGGGGGTTATATTCAGTAGGCACAGCAGTCATCTCCTGGTCATAAAAACCCCACACTGAAAGCTGCAACCTGGGGCCCAGACAACGTAGCTTTCATATTCTACACAAAAGCTCCGTGGAGGACGACAGTGGCCTCTGTAGGTTTTCAGAATCTCAACACCGGGTTAGGTTATGAATCCCTGCACGTTTGTGTGCACACATTACCCCAGCAGCTGCCCACTGTGTATCATCGCGATTGTTATCAAAGGAAGAAGACAGTAAAACTTGAAGAATAATTTTAATAGCTCCTTCCCATCTCTTCCGTAACTAACTCTCGGCAGTTCATTGTCATTTTCACAAAAGTCCATGGAGGCTGAACCTCCAGTTACAAAAAAGACAGATTAGGTTTCTCTGAGGGAGGCTGCGTAGGTCAGATAAGCGGGGGGATTACTGCCTAGGCTGGCGCTCTTTAATATATGGCCTTAATATCTGCGTCGTCGGGGCAAATCGCACTGGCCACGTTAACGAGCAACCCCAAGTCTCCGCAGTGTAACACACGACACGGATTTATCTTACATTGTCCACATGGTCATTCGAGGGCAGGCTTCTTTCATTCACTGGCCCTGCCGTCTTTTAGGGGCTCACATTCCTTCAGTGACCCCCTCCTTACTCAACTGGCCAGTGAAGACAGAGCAGAAGGGAAGTTGCACAGAATGTTTCAGGGGCCAGGCCTGGAGGCGTGGTGCACCTCTGTCCTTCCTGCAGCCTGCTGGCCGCATGGCCCTCACTGAGACGCAAAGGGCTGGGAAGCAGAATGTGTGTACCTGTGAGCTCAGCGAGGGGAAGCAGGTCGGGTGAGCATCTATCCACCAGATCTCTGTCGTTTTACCTAAAAACAACTCTGCCCTGGGCAGCTTTTTATAATTCCCAGCACCCAAGTCCTGATGTCCGGGAGTCTGACCTTCCATAGCCAAAAGCCTTAGAGAAAACAGAAAGAAATGCCCGTGGTGGGCAGCTGAGCTACACCCAAGGAAATCTTTGAATCTGTGTTCCTTGGGATGAGGCTAGGGGGTGGGGGGAATCACCCTTTCTGGCATTTGACATCCATTGACCCATTTGTGGATTCATTCAGCACATACTTGAGTGTGTACTGTGTGCATGGTTATCACTATAAGCAGAACAGACAAGAACCGTTGCCTTCATGAGGCCCCCAATCTAGAGACAGTAGACGAGCTAAATAAGGAAAATACAGAATAGTGACAAGCTAAGAGGAAAAGTAACAAAGCAGGAAAAGAAGATGTAGTGCTAGAGGAGATGGAAATTTTATTGACGGCCAAGGAGGGCCTCATGTGTAGCTAAAGTGAGGACCAGAGAAAAGTAAGAGAATGCCCATGGGCAGATGTGCAGTAAAAGCATTCCAGGAGACAGAAACAGCAAGTGCAAGGGCCCTGGGGTGGAAGTGTGTGGCCGTGTTTTGAAAAAAGGTCAGGAAACCACCAGTGTGTCCAGAGCAAAGTAGCCTAGAGAGGGAGTGGGAACTGAGGTCTGCGAGGGAAGGGAAGCCCAGGTCTTAAGAGTATGAAAGTCATCACAGACCTTTGGCTTTCCCTCTGGGGTGGGACGCCATTGATGGCCCTTGTCTTACATCTTTTGGATCTAAAGTAGCCTCTTAGGTACTGAAAGACTCCGGGCATTAGCCTACTGCATTTGGTCGTTAACGGAGAAGTGATGTTAAGCCTTGATTGCTAGTAAAATGGTTTGTGATTATTTAGGCTTTTAGCCCCAATAAAAATATTCATCTCAGGCCAAATAACCCCCCCCCCTTTTTTTAAGCACAGAAAAGCAGCTTATCCAGAACCACCACTAGTGAGCCAACAGCAAGGGGTCTGCCCCTTGAGTTAATTTCCCCTCTTTAGAGTCCTGACAATAAAATTTGAACGGTCGCCCGCCCCCCAGAGTCCTGCTGTTCACGAAGGCACAAAAAGCTGAGTTCCCTTCTCAGTCCCCCTTGAATGCCCAGACTCTTGAGTCCAGAAACAAATGCTGTGTTCTGTGTTCGCCGAGTCCCATTTGCATATGTCAACAAAAGAGATCGGGTGGGTGGAAATGGGATCTGTTTCCAAGGGCGCTGCACGAGAGATCAAACGAGCTGACTCTGGATTGGCCAGCAGGAGCCTGGCCTGCAGCAAAGTCCCACATCCCCCCTCCCCGCGAGGACACACACACACCAGGCCACACTCTCACCCCCATCTTCCTCCCTCGCCAAGCCAAGCTCGGGGGACGTCACTCCCTAGAGGAGAGCTCAGGAAGCGCTGCCCTCCTGCAGGGGAGTCCCCTTGGGGGTGCATTTTAACACCCTGCGTCACTTGGGGATTGTCCCCGAGGCCCTCGAAGATGCCCTCCCCATGCTCGGTGTTTCCATAAACATTCCATAAACATTCTGGCACGTTTTTGCTGTTTCCCAACCTGCTTCTCAGACTCCATTAGCCTGCCTGATAGGATTCCTTCAAGTTTTCATTATCTCTATTGAACATGGTGACACTCTTTAAATGGGGTGTCTTAAAAGCAGCCCACATTCAGGCACAATGGCAGGCTCAGCCATTGTTCCCCTGAATGCACACCGCGCCTGCCCCAAACACAGTGTTTTCATTTCAGAAACCCACTTCTTAGTCTTCCCTGTGACTCAGTGCAAATTTAAATGTATTTCTGGGCTGTGACTCAGCCCAGAAAGGATAATGAAGGCTCTGTGCCTTCATTACCCAGAGCACCCCCCCCCCAAAGCAGCAGGAGCCTCCAGGCCCAGCAGAGGGTATAGATGCTGTTATTGAAAAGTGAGATTAATTATAAAGCTGTTGATGGGGTTGTGGTCTAAATTTGTCCCCTTTCATCACAGAGGGCCAGAGATGAGCAGAAGAGATAGTTTATTGCAATTTTCTCCTCATTTGCGATGTTTATTGTCAGCAGCCAAGGGGGCAGTTAAACATAAACAGCCTGAGTCTTTCTTCAGTTCCTGGATTGCTTGACAAATATGATTGCTTTCAGGCATAAACAGTATTTACCCAGCACCGTAATGAGCATATCGTAGCTTCACGCGGTCACCGGGCTTCATCATAAAGGGACCAGCCCTCTCCTCTTTAGATCCCCTCCACCAGGGTTCTTTATGCTTTGTCTTTGTTCCTAATATACCGGTAATGGGTACTTGATCCCCCAGCTTCAGCCTGCCTTGTCCTTGGGTGCTCTCCCACCCCACCACTGGTCATCAGTGATCTGTAGACAAACATGGAAGGGCCCCACCAACCGCAGAACTAATAAGTGATTTAGAAACCATTTTGGAAAAGAGTAAACCGTCATCCCTCACCTGTCTGTCTAAAATTCACAAATTGCATATTGCTAAGCAGGGCACCGCTGGGTCAGAACATTTTTACACCAAGCCAAGACTTTACTTATTAACAGGTGGCTTAGCCTGAGACACAAAGTCCAGATTTGTAGAAATTTGAAAATGATCGTGGGAATGCGGGAAAGAGGAGAGAGAAGCAATCCAAAAAGTTCACGTACTTAGTCCCCCGCAACGCATTGCCTCCTGTTGTCACCAGGCTCGGTAGCCGAGGTGCCTGGGAAGGCAAATGAATATAATTATAACTTCACCACTGACCTGCCTTCAATGCCAAGGCCTAAGCAGCAGTTACCTGTAAGAATGCTTCCCCCGGGTGACTAGGACAGACTTAACAAGAGCCATAAAAATGTTCACATTCTGCAGCTGTATAACCCCACACCAGGGAAGTTTTACCTTAGGAAGTCATCCAGAGAAGGAAAAAAGGACATATGGCACAGAGACGTTTATAGAAGCTGCTAGTTCTCAGAGTGCCGCCCCGGAAGCCATTGTCAACGTGCCCCTGGACAAGTGAGCCCGTCCCTGACGCATGATGGATCAGCTCAGCGGCGTTAATCTGGGAACACCGGTAGCCACGGAGAAAGCGTTTGCAACAGTCCATGAAAAACAAGAAACTCCAAATGATGCGTCATTATTTGAAAGTAATGTGACAGGCCTAAGAGCTCCCAGAAAAGTAAGAGCGGTTTTTGCATTGAGGTAAAGGGAATGTGGGTGCTACCTTCCTGGAATCCCTCTCCCCGCCGGAATACATGGTTTTAATTCAATAGAAGACTCCAGGGAGCGTTTCTGATGTGATGAGCATTGTTGCTGGTCACCAGATATTTGGGGTCTTCCTTCTGGCACATGTTCGGATTGTACCTCCCGGCTCACTTGTGATTGGATAGAGCACGTGACTGATTTTGACCAATGAGATCTGGAGCACTTCAGCCCTGGCGCAGGGCACCCCAGGAGCATCCCAGAGGGCACCCCACTACAGCAAGACCAAGATGGCAGCTGCACCATCAGCGTGGGTCCTCGGGTGACCTCTGCTGACTGGCAGAGGACGTGTGGCAAAGGCAAGAGATATAGCAGTCGGAATGAGCCTGGGAAATCATGCCAGGTCTCTAGGCTAGAGACATTCTGCACAATGACTTGAATCATGTCAGTCCACAGCGACTGCCCCTGTTTCTTTTCAGAACCACTACTCCTTATACAGGATACAGAAATGGTCTTCCCCACCCCTGCCCCAGTGGCGCCCTCTTTAGGTGCCGGGGGGACCAGCAGCTGAGCACCTCCCAGTCCGCCCCACCAGCAGGGGACCAGGGGTGCCAGGGGACCATCCTTCACCACGGACCCACCGGAGCAAATGCGAGGCATTGGCGTTGCCCAGAATGGCTCAGAGCCCGCACCCCGCAGTCAGATGTCTGCACTTGAATCTTGGTTCTTCCACATCCCAGCTCCGTGACCCTGGCCAGAGCACGTAATACAGCCTCAACCAGCTCAGCTGTAAAACGGGCTTAATTGTACATACACTATACAGCGGTTTTGAGGGTTAAGTGAGGGAGACGTGCACAGTGCTCCCCACGGTGCCCGGCACACAGAAGGAGCCTGAAAACACGTGTTACTGCTATTGCCACTGTCCTTACTGCTGCTCAGTCCCAAATACCGGCTGTTCATCAGGCAGTACAGACTCAAAGTGGGTGATAACAGAACATCAGGGATAGAGGCACCTGTCTACCCTGGGATGTGCTGACAGGAGAGGCCCCAGTCTTTGGGGCCACACAGGGATGAGACGCAGGGTGAAACCCCAAGGCTCTGCCCCCAAGGACACGTGGTCGTGTGGCTTTTGTTCTAGCTTAGAAATCTTAACGCAACAGGTGAGCCCAAGGGCCCTCAGGGTCCTCGATCCCCAGCCTATATGATTCACATTTGGATTAAACAGCTTTCTTTACTGCAGGACTTCTTAGAACATTTAAAAAGTGTAAATGTTGGGGCGCCTGGGTGGCTCAGTTGGTTAGGTGTCCGACTTCAGCTCAGGTCTGATCTCACCATTAGTGAGTTCAAGCCCCACGTCAGGCTGTGTGTTGACAGCTCAGAGCCTGGAGCCTGTTTGGGATTCGGTGTCTCCCTCTCTCTCTGACCCTCCCCCACTCACACTCTGTGTCTCTCTCGGTCTCAAAAATAAGCTTTAAAAAAAATTTTTTTTAATAAAAAAAAATGTAAATGTTAATGCACATCTCCAGAAGGGGGTAAAGGGTGCAAGACTTGACCCAGGGGTATCCCGTAGGACGAATACCCGCTAGTTGTAAGGAATGCTGTCTGGGGTGTGTCAGGAGCCAGGTGTCCTGCTCTCAGGGGGAATACAGAGGGGGCCTCGTGGCCAAGCACTTCCTTTGATCATTAGTAGGCACAGCTCGCCTGGGCCAAGTGGGTCCCCAGGCCATGAGGACAATTAAGCAGCTGCAACAGCCCAGTGCCCTGCATGGAACATTCCCCCAACCCCCACCCCGCAAATTCCTGTCTTCTACATCAGAGTCGGGGAAAAGGCAGCTGCATCGACCTAATCGTCTTCAAACGCGGAGATTCTTGCTGAGAAAGATTCCTGGAGATGGTTTGTCTGAGTTTCCCTTTGCAGAGAATTTCTCTTAAGCCTTTGGCTTGGATTATCTGTGACCCAGCCCCTGGAGCATTCCTGTTGCTAGTACGTGAGCACCACCAAAAAGGCCAGTTGACTCTCCCTGGTGCCTCTGTCACTGCTCAGCAAAGTCCGCCACGTTTGGCCAGCCTCACGGGCGTGTGACCGATGTAGTCATACGGGACCCAAGCTCCAAGAGCCTCATGCATCTGGTTTGATGATCTGCTGTTGCCATCTTGAAATTCTTAATAATTATCTAAAGGGGCCCACATTTTCATTTTGCATTGAAATCCACAAAGTATGTAGTTTCTCCCAACTAGCGGCCCTAAGGGGCCACATTGAGAAGTGTTGTTTGGTTATCCAGGAGCAGAACCTGTGCCTGGCTCCCATCCCGGGCACCATGACATTGTAGAGAATGAATACATAGGAAATTCAGAGTGAATGGGGCCCCCTGGATGTGTGCAATTCACAGCCCTGAGCAGAAACTACATCAGGTTTGCTTTAGCCATGAAAATCTCCTTGGCCAAGAACCAGCCACATCTATGGATCACTTATTTGGGAACATGGGATGTTGTGTGGGTGTCCTATCACAGGTGTCCTGAAGAAGTGGGTTGCATGATATCAGGCAGAGAAGGTGTAGTGGGATGGACAGCAGGACTGGGCTCCAGTGGAGCTCTTGGCCAGTGCAGCTCCACTCACACCCGCAGGGTGTCCTGCTCTGTTCTTTCTAGGTTGAGGTGGCACAAACCGGCTGACCCAGGTGACCATCTGCACGTGCAAGCGGGTGTCTGTGCCCAGCTGCCTTGCCGTGGGGCATCCAGGCACCATGTTACTTCTGCCCAGGGACACTCACCATGGCGGGCTGTTCCTGCTCTGCTCAGAGCATTTTAGTTCTTCTCACCCACCTGCATGCTTTGGCCAAATTAAATATTCTTTATACCAGGTGCTTGCAACTGGAAAAGAGGCCTATTTATTTATATTTCTAGACCAAAACAAAACAAAAATCATGGCACCAGTCCCAACCCCCTGCTCTTCCCTACCTGGTCCCAAGGTAGGTTCTTGATAGACTTAGTGGCTTGCCCTTTGGTGGGTGTGGCTTCCGTGTGCTGACCCCACAGGTGACTCCTATTCAGGGCTGGGGGTCAGATGAGCAGGTTGGAATGATCCAAGTCGTGGTTCAAGGGGAGCACTCTGCTTGGTTCCAGTGCTCTCTCTTACTCGGAAATGCTCAACAAGAAGGGATATCCTGCTGACTACTGCACAGCTATCTGTGGCCCACGATACAGTTTACATTCAAGCTGGACTCTGCATTAGCAGAGCCCTAACCATGTCAGCCAAAGTGACGGAGAGTCCTCTCTTCCACGAGAAGGAAAATGCAACGAGATTGAAATACAGGGCTTCTCTGTATGAAAGCTGACCCCTGGTCTGCCTTTCTTCTGCTAAACCCAAGGTTAGCTAAGCCAGAAAGAAACATTAAGAAATGGCCCATAAACCCACTTATCCTGTGTACTGTCCCTCCAGAGTGACAGGTAATTTGCCAGACCTCTTGGGATTAGAGACCTGCCGGAGGAGAAAACTTGAAGGACGTCCTGAGCTCACCTGCTCCTCCCAAGAATTCTGGCAGCCCCTTCTAAGACCGTTCATGTGCCTTAATAAAATACCAGTGCCACTAGGCACCGCCCTTCATCAGGCACCTGATGGTTCCGTGATAAACTAGCAGGAGTTTTGCAGACTCACCAGGGAACCCCATTTTACAGACCAGAAAACTGCATCTTAAAGAGATGGGTTGCTCGCCCGTGGACACCCAGCTAAGAGGTGGTGGAACTAGAGCTCTGGTCCAGATCCTCCTGACTTTAAAGCCGTGACCTCCTACAAACCCGGCTGAAGCGGAAAGGGAAACGTCCAGTAGAAACTAAGCTCCCGTCACTACCACCATGCAGGTGCCAGGCTCCCGACAGAGCAACTCCCTGTTGGGTCAGAAGGGCCCTGGTGTGAATTGCTGGACCTGAGGAAGTCCATTTTGCCCGTGTTCTGATGGCCCCATCGCCCCATGCTCAGAATCCAAAGGTACTGGCATTCTCCACCTGCCCCCGCCCCTGCACGCAGAGCCATCTGTAACCTAACTTAATTATAATTAAATTGTTAACACATAATTACAAGATTAATGGATTAATTATAATTTATTTGCAAATCATTAAAAGCATTACTCAAAAACATTTTCCCTAAAGATGGTTTTGGGTTGCCCAGGGCAGGATAATTAAAGAGACAGAGGAAAAAGTGAAAAACACACAACCGCCAACCTAATGAAAGATAATCAAATAAACCAGCAACTTCGCTGAGCTAACCCTGCAGCCCGTGGTGCGCCGGGAAGCCCTGTCTGTTTCTTGGCGCTGAGTGGGGTCTTCAGGCGCCATGTTTGAATGACTCTGCGTGTTTTCCCATGTCTCTGTTTTCTGGAACAGCCTCCATTTGATGGCGAAGATGAAGACGAGCTGTTTCAGTCGATAATGGAGCATAACGTTTCTTACCCAAAATCCTTGTCCAAGGAGGCCGTTTCCATCTGCAAAGGAGTAAGTAGATCTGAATTCTTTTATAATTACAGACCCAGGGGGTCGACTGGGGAAATCCCTTCCCCACACTTCTGAGAGAGATGGCGGAGAGACTGCAAACCCATGTCACTCATTTCTGCCATCAAGGGCTCCAGTGTGGTGACCCCCGGGGAACAGTGGGAGATATGGCGGCCTGGAGAATGGGTTCTGGTCCACTGGACTTCCTGGAACTCTGGCCCAGGCAGCTAATCGCGCTGTGTTTTAGTGTCTCATCCACCTCGTGAAATTGTGGTGTGAGTTGCCAGAAGTCATCTTGGGCGCTCAGAAAACGTTGGTTCTCTTCCGTTGCCTAACGTGGTGTGTCTTGGGTCATTCTTCATCGGATTCTCTTTTTTTGAGATAAACCGTGCATGCAGAAATGGGCACCAATCGTCAGTGCATAGATCAGTGAATTTTCACAAAACTAACACACCCATGCAGTTGCACTCAGGTCAAGAGAAATAATGTTTTAGGGCACCTGGGTGGTTCAGTCAGTTAACCGCCTGACTGATCTCTCAATTCACAAGTTTGAGCCCCGCAGCAGGCTCCCTGCTGTCAGCACAGAGCCTGCTTCTGATCCACTTTTCCCCATCCCTCCCCCACTTGTGCTCTTTTTCTTTCTCTCAAAAATAAACATCCAAAAAAAATTTTTTTTAATTTTTTAATGTTTTTATTTATTTATTTTGAGAGCGTAAGCAGGGGAGGGGCAGAGAGAGAGAGAGAGGGAGGATCCCATGCAGGCTCCACGCTGTCTGTGCAGAGCCTGACAAGGGGTTCAGACCCATGAAACTGCGAGATAATGACCTGAGCGGAAACCAAGAGTCATACACTCAACCAACTGAGCCACCCAGGTGCCTTTTTTTTTTTTTTTTTTTTTAAAGGGTGCCTGGGTGGTCAATCAGTTAGTGTCTGACTTGATTTGGGCTCAGGGCATGATCTCGAGGTTCGTGAGTTTGAGCCCCGCATTGGGCTCTGCACAGACAGTGTGGAGCCTGCTTGGGATTCTCTCCCTCCCTGGCTGCCCCTCCCCCGCCTGTGCTGTCTCTGTCTCTCTCAAATAAAAAATAAATACATGTTTAATTAATTAGAAGAGAGAGAATGTTTCCGACACCCTAGAAGCCCCCTCCCTTCCTGTCCCACAGCTCCGCCCCTCCCCTTGAGGTAAGCAGCATCCCCACTTGTCCCTGCCTGGATTAGCGTCACCTGTTCTGAACATCACACAGATGCAGTCTTGCATTGGACGCTTCCCCGGACCTGGCTTCTTTCAGCCAACACTGTGATAGTGAGATTTCTCCATTTCCTGTGTCTGTGGTTCCATCCTGTCTTGCTGTGTTTCTTCCGCTGTGTGACCACAGCACAGTTTATCCATTCGTGTTATTGCTGCTGGGCCTTTGGGTTGTTTCCACATCAGTTTCAGGAGCCGTTACAAACAGAACTGCCACGAAACTTCCAGGTTGTATATTTTGGGGAACATACAAACTGCTTCTGTCGAGGAAATACCTAGGAACGGAAATTACTGGCTCATGACTTGGTCTGTTTTTAATAGTCAAGCTTCAGGCCATAAAATTATTGTCAGACCCAGTGAGATGGAAAGTAACACGCTGCTAACATTTTCCGGTGGGTTTGATCGGTTGGGATGCATTTATCACCTGTCTTCCAAGGGCCAGGCACTGTTTGCAAATCTACACAGGGAGAGCTGGGCCCTGCCCTCCAAGCTGGTGGCCCGTGTTCGCCTCCACGTCCTGCACTAGGCACGTGGGAATTGACTAGTCACCTGCTGGTCCTGGCATTTACTTTGCCAAACCCGCGAGTCTTTGATTAATACGGTTTGGTCCAAGCAATAAACAGGCATCTGATGCTTCTTACTAGTATCACATGAGATGCACAATTTTCAGTGATGGCATACCTCTTCACACACGTACTTCTGTAGACATCTGGGAAGGCAGTTCGACACAGATAGTGTATGAAAACACCTATTTAAATTCCTCTGGCTGTGGGGCCAGATTGTCTCCCTGTTTCCTGTATCATACAAATCACTATAGAAAGACCCATACTATCAGCACCGTATCTGTGAGTTGGGGGTCAGTCTGCACAAGCGGCTGATTTCTTGGGGTGGTCTCCAGGCGTCCACACGGTCTGGGCTGGGGGGCAGAGTTGCCGAAGGGAAGGCACTATTGTCCAACATTCTCTTCTTCTCCTACTTTTTGTGCGTGTGGTGGGGGAGGGCGGATTTTTTTTTTTGTT